TTTTTGTGATCGGTGACGACGTCCACCGGATCACCCGAGCCTTCCGGATAATGACGCCAAGCTTTAAAGGCCTCGAAGATGGCCAGAAGCTCTTTGTCGTGTGTATCGTAGTTGAGTTCAGCCGCGTGAAGCGTTCTGGAAAGGAAGGCTAAAGGATGAATTTCACCGTCAGCATATTGGATGGAAAGAATAGCCGCAATGGCGTAGTCAGAAGCGTCGGTCTCCACGATAAGTGGGCGATTCGGCTCCCAATGGGCCAGTATCGGCGCAGAAGTAAAAGCGATTTTGAGATTTTCGAAGGCCTCTTGACAGCTGCTGTCCCAGATCCAGGGAGCGCCTTTTCGGGTAAGCCGAGTCATTGGCACAACGATATCACTATAATTATAAATAAAACAACGATAGAAATTTGCAAAACCCAAGAAGGACTGAATGTCCTTAACCTTCCTCGGAACCGGCCACTCTAGCACTGTCTGAACTTTCTCCTTGGACATAGTTAATCCATCGGGAGAAAGAATATAACCCAAATACTCAACAGTATCCATATTGAATTCGCACTTCTCGGGATTGGCGTAAAGCCAATGATGGCGAAGTCGCCAAAGAACCTCCTTGACGTGTTCTTGGTGTTCTTCTGGCGTATCAGAATAGATCAGAATATCATCCAAATAGACAATGACACAAACATCGAGCATGTCAGAGAAGATGTCATTAACAAACCGCTGGAAAGCCGCAGGGGCGTTCGTAAGGCCGAACGGCATAACCTTCCATTCGTAGGAGCCGTAACGGGTCCGAAAGGTGGTCTTCCATTCGTCACCTTCAGCGATTCTGACGAGATGATAAGCATGAGCGAGATCCAATTTGGTGTATATTTTGGCTCTTTTCGGAGTGTCGAGAAGGTCTGATATGAGTGGGAGTGGGTAACGGTCCTTTTTGGTAATACGATTGAGTCCACGGAAATCGACGCAAAGGCGAAGTTTGCCGTCTTTCTTTGGGACGAAAAGGACCGGAGCGCCATGAGGAGAGGATGATGGGGTGATAGCACCAGTAGCCAGCTGTTTGTCAATAAAGTCTTTAAGGGCGACTAACTCCTTTTCAGACAAAGGGTAAATACGGCCGAGAGGCGGCGAAGCGCCTTCTTCCAGGTCAATCTTCAAGTCATAGGGTCTGTGTTCAGGAAGTGAATCTGCAGCAATCTCGTCGAAGACGTCTGCAAACTCAGCATACTCTGCTGGGATGGAGGGAGGAAGTGGAGGAACAGTAGGAGCGGTGGAAGAGCGGTCGGCGGCGCGGGCCGCGACCTCAGAGTGAATAGCACGAAGAAGTATGGGTTCCATACCAGCGTCCTTGCAAGCCCTGTTAAAGACTGCAGCACTCACTAGTGCAATGTCAACCTCGGGAGTTTCCAGCTGAGCAGCGAATTGAGAGACCGTAGGATAAGAATAGATGGGTTCAAAAGGGAATTTGGATGAAAGGGGCTTGGCCCATGAGGCCTGAGAGCGAGGTGAGTCCCCAGAAGGGATCTCCAGAATTGTCGGTGAAACCGATGGCGAAAATTCCGGTAGCGGAACAGCGACCTTTGCAACAACAGGGTTGATAGCAGAAGGCACAGATGTCTGTGGAGAATCAAGATGTGAAGTGTTACGGAATGTAATATTTTGAGATGCCCAGTCAATCAACGGATTGTAGCGGGATAAGAAACTGTAACCTAATACTGCTTTACAGGATGAATCTAAATGAGTAGCATAAAAGGGGAATAGAAGCAGCTCGCCGGAAGGAAACCGAACGGCAATATTTGCCATATCGGTAATTGGTTTAGAAGACAATGAACCATCAAAAAGACGAAGATTAACAGGAGAGATTTTGGTCATAGGAATAGAATTTTGAGAAACATAGCGAGTATCAATAAAAGAGTCAGTAGAACCAGAATCAACAAGAGTAGGAAATTTGAGAAGAGCAGAGATAGGTTCGGCCGACGCGGCCGAATCGGATAAAGGAAATTCAGTAGTTAATGATATTACAAGAGATCGTTCAATGGAAGAAAGAGCGGACGCGTTGAGATATAACTCCCCAGGTGAGGTACGAACCTGATCAACGCAGCTCCCGTTTTGTACCAGGGAACAAGAGCTGCGGACTAGTTTTCCGATTCCTCTTCAACAACCTCAATGGTTGCTTCGGGGGTTTCTTCAACCTCGGCAGCACGGCCCTTCGATTCTCGGGCCTTTCGCTTGTTGCAGTCAGCAATCTGATGCTTACCACCGCAGAAGAGACAAAGATTGTTCTTCATCCTTCTTTCCTTCTCGGAGGGAAGGACTTTCCCATCTGCACCAAGATGGTTGAACGCGGGGCGCTGACCGCCGGATTGGCCGGAATTCAAAGAGTTCTGGGGCTTACCATTGTTGTTAGGCTTACCACCAGAGAAGGGTTTAGGCTTCGGCGTGAACGGCACCAAAGAGCCAGATGGCTGAGAGTTGTTTTGCTGGTTAGTAGAACCAGTCTTAAAGTCCGAGGAACCCTTCTTCGGGTTCCGAGCAACAAAAGGCTTACCAGCCTCACGCTTTCTAGTTTCTTCGCGCTTCCAACATCGATTGTCAATACGAAGAACTTCTTGACGATAATCGGCGAGCGTCACCGGCTCGGGCAAACGCGCCATTTCATCCTTGATGCATTCAGCTAAACCTCGTCCATAAGCCCATTTCAGGGCAGCAGAATCCCAGTTGGTACTAGCAGCTAGGGTGTTGAACCGGATGTTGTATTTCCGGATGTTCTCGGTTTCCTTCATCTTCAGATTACCGAGAGAATCTTCGGCCTCGCCTTGGGCGTCGTAAACGCCGAAATTGTCCTGTAGCTCCTTTACAAGGGCTTTGAAGGAGGACGTCCACGCCGGCAGCGAGTCGAGATCCGGGTCTAGGATATCAGGGACAAACCACTCTTTGGCTGACCCACTGAGATAGGAAAGGGTGTAGTTCACCTTCCGTTGGTCGGTGAAATACTTTGGACAGTCATTGAAGACCAGGGCAAGATTGACGAAGAACGTTTTGAGTTTTCGGGGGTCCGAACCGTCGAATACCTCTGGTTCCTTGACCTTGCTCTTGTCAAGTCCATGCCTCGGGCCTCCATTCCGCCGCTCGGTACTCCGAAGATCCACTCCTTATTGTAATCTCTTCTTATTGTTCTTTCTCGCTATACATATCCTTTTGTTCTAGTCTCTCCTTATTGTCTTTTACTCTACCCTGCAGGTACTACTCGTATAGCTCCTAGTAGTTAGTCTGGCGCTCCGCACCGCTGCGCCGTTCCGTAGATATAAATACTGCCTGTACGCTACTGTAGTTCCTCAGTTTAATTATCAACTTAGATCTCCCTTCTCAACTTAGCCCTTCCCTAAGTCTTCAGGCTCAATGCCTTGAAGCACGTTCTACTCGACCTTAGGACTTGAACGTCCTCTGGTCCGCTCCTCGTCATCGGCGATACCGCCGCGCCGACTTGGCTGCTACTTAGCTCCTCCCTCTATACTTTCGATCTCCGGGGACTAACGGCGTAACGGCGGTGTTGTTAATAACTTCACTACTGTCCCACTTGTCTTCCGCACTTAGACACCTTGTGGCCTTGGCACGGTTACACGGTGTACATGATCTTAACAGCTCTTAGCTTCAGAGCTGTCAGAAGGACGACCGAGAGCGGCGAGGACAGTACCAAGGGCCTCAATGGAACCCTTGAATCCCGAGAGGAGTTCCAACATAGCACGTTGCTCGTTGGGGATGTCAGGAGAGATAGGAGAACGGGGTCCACCAGGTCCACCAGGTCCACTGGGGTCACCAGGCTCACCACGTGGTAAACCGCCGGAGTCGTCATCCAGATCGTCGTGATTGTTATCGGCACCCGGATCGTCAGGGTTGACAGGAGGGTCTTGATCGTCGTGATCACCAGTGTCCAAATCGAAGTGAGGAGGTGGGTCACGAGGAGATTCAGAAACAGCACGACATTGGGGTTGTTTCCCAGTACGACGGGCTATAGCTTGGAGGATTGGAGATTCAATTCGAGTAGCTGACCAGCCCCGAGCCGGAGCGACCACGGGGGGTTGTCCACAGCGAGGGGTCAAGACTTGGACAGGTTGTCCGTCACCAGTGTACAAGGTGCTGTACTCAAATTGTTGATCTTCTTCCATGGCTTCAGGAAGAGTCGACATAGTAGGGACTGTAGCTGGACCGAAACCGCGATTACGGCGACGTGGTTGACCGATGGCAGAGATAGATTCGGAGAATGGGGCGAAAGATTGGGCTGTAGTGAAGAAAGTGTTTTCTTCGGAGTTAGCTCTGGATTGAGCTTGAGTTTTCGGAGGCATAAAAAATGATAGGTCAGTACGACGTTAACGGATTGAGTTTAATTATACTGTTAAGATCATGTACACTGTATAACCGTGCCAAAGCCACAAGGTGTCTAAGTGCGGAAGACGAGTGGGACAGTAGTGAAGTTATTAACAACACCGCCGTTACGCCGTTAGTCCCCGGAGATCGAGAGTATAGAAGGAGGAGCTAAGTAGCAGCCAGGTCGGAGCGGCGGTATCGCCGATGACGAGGAGCGGACCAGAGAACGTTCAAGTGCTAAGGTCGAGTAGGACGTACTTCAAGGCGTTGAGCCTGAAGACTTAGAGAAGAGCTAAGTAGAGAAGGGAGATCTAAGTTGATAATTAAACTGAGGAACTACAGTAGCGTACAAGCAGTATTTATATCTACGGAGCGCCAGACTAGCTACTAGGAGTTATACGTGTAGTCCTGCAGGGTAAATTAAAAGACAATAAGGAGGGACTAGAATGAAAGGGTATGTGTAGCGAGAAAGAACAATAAGGAAAGATTACAATAAAGGTGGATCTTCGGAATACCGAGCGGCGGAATGGAGGCCCGAGGCATGGACTTGACAGCTTCATTCCTTCCCTGTTTGCTGGTTTAAAGCATGGCTATGGTGAGTGTTAATGTAAGGCTAAAATTTTCACTAAATATTGTTTCAGAATGGGTCGTGATGCCTTCTGGCACCTGCATGACCTTATTGCTGCTGATGCAGCTTTCCAATCCACAACAAATCGTCCTCAACGCCCTGTCCGCTATCAGCTGGCCACATTCCTATGCAGAGTCGGGGCTGAAACGGTGGTGAAGACAGCTAGTGTAATGGCAGTTGCTGAGGGATCTGTATAAAACTATGTACAGCGTGTCATTGGTGCAATACGTCGTTTATGGTCCGATTACCTTGCATGGCCTGGAGAAGCTCGAAGACATTTCATTTCCGAGAAGTTTGCTGAGCAAGGATTTCCAGGCTGTCTCGGGACAGCAGATGGGTGTCTGTTCAGACTCACGAACCAACCACTTGTCAACCCATATGCATATTGGTGTAGGAAAAAGTTTTATGCGGTGAGTGATTGTTGATTCATTCTCGGCTCATTTCTTATGTCTCAAATAGTTGATCATGCAAGCCACAGTTGATCATTGTGGCGTGTTCACATCGCATGAACTGGGATGGCCAGGTTCTGTTTAGGACAGTCAGGTTTTTTGAAATTCACATCTATGGTTGCACCACGAGAAATATTTTCGTGCACATGAATACATATTGGTTGATAAAGGTTCGTCAATATAGTCCTCTGCCTCATTCCTTAACTGAAGCTCCCGTACTGCAGGATATCCATTGACGAAGTTTACAATCTGCCCATTCAATGACTACGATCTCACATCGAATCCAATTGAAGCACGTCGCCGCAAAAAGTGGAACCGTCAGCTCTCTTGCATGCGCATTTTTGTTGAGCACGGATTTGGTCATCTAAAAGGCCGATTCCCTATACTACGCTGCATTCCCAGCCGTCACTTGGGCGAGGCCTATAAGATGATCGAGTCATTAATGATTGTCCATAATATACTTGAGGTAATCGGAGATGATCCTTATACAATCACTGGTTTCATGGGCAGCGGTGGAGAGCAAGAGGTCACTGATTCTACTGTTGAGGTTGCAGAACGAGATGCTGATCTTGAAGGGGATGACTTCTATTGCACTGGCCTTCTTCGTCGTAAATTACTTATGGATAAATATTCAATGTTTTAACTGCATTAAACCAATTGTTATTATATCAATCCGAGAACAAAATTTCGAAGATAATTTCAGCTCATATCTATTACAAGCCCTCCTCAGAACATAGCCTTTCTGCGAGTGCTTCCCCCATCTGTCGAATCTTCGCAATAGGTGATTCCATCATCTTAGTTGCATGTTCCCATTCGACGTTCCTTCGCTGTGCAACTGCCAGCTTCAGCTCTTCCTGTTTTGCTTTTTCCTCTCATTTGTCCCTCTTTAAAGCAAGCTCATAGTTCTTATACTCCATCTCTCTCGCCACCTTGTTTTTGTCCTGGATTGCTCCAACAGCATCTGCGAGGAATTTATCACGAGTGATTTCTTCTTCGTCATCATCACTGAGGCGATTTCTTTTTGTCTTCTTCTTCTTTTTCTTCCGCTTCTTCTCCTCGTCATCACTACTGCTTTCGGGCTCGGAAATGCTGGATGTAGAGTTCATATTTTGGCCACGTACAACACTACTATCATCATGGGCTCTAAAATAAATGTGTTATTAATGCAAGAGAGAACAGAAGTCATGGGGCGCACACTTTATCCAAGAGCTCGAAGATCTTCAAAGCTTCAAATGCATCGAGGACCCTCTCCAAAAACTTGGCTTTCCCCCGTCTTGCTATTCGCTCCTTGCTTTTATGATCCTCACCACGATCTGCATCACCATCGCCTCCACCTGTACGCTCCTGGCACTCACGAACAGCCTTGTATTTCTCCCACAATGCTTTCCATGCATTTGAGAGTTGTGTAGCGGTGTATTTGGTCTTGAAAATGTCCGAGGCAGCCTGGAGAGCAGTACGTCAACTCAGCAATACTGATAGATGGATGAACACTCACATTAATCATCAGGGCACCCTGTCGCAACTTAAAATTCTTCCATTGTTCGGGACGAGTAAGATATTCCACCAGTAAAACCTTGTCTTCCTCTGAAACTCCAGACTTCTTTTCATCACCAGGATCCTTCAAGACTGCTGCCTTCATGTCCTCTGGTGAGAGCATCTCGATTTCTACATCTGAGTTGCCACCATCTCTACGGTTTGTTGACCCAGATTTACTCCCTGTGCCCAGGGGTTTTTTTCATTTCATTTTCTTCTCCTTCTTGTCAATGTTGCATTCACCCGTTGTTGTTTTCTTCCTCTCTTCATCAATTTTCGGAAGCTCTGCAACTGTCTGATCATTCTCCTTCTGAGCTACAGGTACTGTTGGATGGTGCAGTGTGTTGATATTGAAAGACTGATCGTCGTGGTCCTGCTGATTCCACCAATCATCAGACCAGTGTTCTGGCTGGTGAAGTTGACGATGGGATTGGAATGTGGAGGGCATGTTATCTCAAGGAGGGTTTGGTAGATACGCTCCACTTCGAAATGGTGTCGAAAAATTGTAAAGATATGTTTTGGACAGTGCACTGCGGGCAGAGCTTGGAGGAGGTTGTGTGGGACTGGGTCGAAGTGACTGGTAGTGCTGTGTTGGTACTATAGGTTGCCCATATTGGTGTCTGTCACTTTGCTGTCCCTGCTGAGGTGTCGTAGGGATAACATGGCCCTCTGTCCTTGCTACTGCTTGCTCTGCAAGAAGTTCCAAAGCATTCATCACTAGTTCGTAGAATGAAAGTTTTCCGAGGGCATGGACAACTTAGATACCGCAATTACACAAGCAAAGCTTAGCGACGTCAAGATATATTGCTTCCAAAATTTCACTCAAAAAAAAACTCTTAATTGAGTTGGACTAGTATTCCTTACCAAAATATAACAAGCCCAAACCTCAGCGTGATAAGAAAGCTCGTGTACCCCCCACCTATCAAAACATAACAAGTTCAAACTAAGGTTATGGTAAGCAACGATAAGTATTGAACAAAATAAACACAATAACTCACCCTCAGCATGATAAGAAAGCTGAGGGCATACAACAACAATTTTTGTATATAAATGAAATGATAAGCAAGATCTACTTGTTGTTTCATCAAGGGATAAAACAGTTATTGGAAACACAAAGATAACAGATATGAAACAATATATTTATTTGAGAGATTTGTACCCCTCCGGGACTCGTAAGAACTGCTTTGGCCGACGGGGTATTCGTCCAATACTCCACTAGTCCCAGCTGGGAACTAATGTTCAAGACGTATGAGAGACACCTGCCTACGATGGAGAGTAGATCCGAGAGATTTAGTGAGGATGTCAGCAGGATTATCTTCAGATGGAATATACTCAATCACAACCTCTCCCTTTTCTACAGCATCCCAGAGAAAGTGATATTGTAAGACCTGGGTCAAAATAGGTCTTAGGGTAGGTTTTGGTATATGGAGGTTTATGTTGTAGCGTGCTAAGAGCAGGCTGGAGCTCGAAGGGAGCTACGAGAACCATGACCGAGGACGGGAATGACCTAGTAGTGGCTGGAATGACGAGATGATGACCCTTGAGGGGGTTCCTAGGAGGTCCAGGGAGGTCCCTAAGGCGTAGGGAGGTTAAGGAAGAGTGTGGGACCATACAATATTGCATAGTAGGAGTTGTACTTGCTAGAACATCAATATAGGATCGAGTAGGTTGTATATGTAACTGGGTCTCGAGGGTATAAGCTCCCGAGAAGGGATATGCCAGGGAGGGTAGGTCCCTGGGGGCTGGGCTTGAGGATGGACGTCCTCGAGTGGGGGGGGTGGTAACAGAGAAGTGGTACGTAGTTCAACGTGAGGGGTAGCTTCGACGTTACCTAGATCGAGGTCCCGAAGCTTACGAAGTAGCTAGGGAGCTCTGGGAGGTTTGGGGAAGGGTAGCTCACCAAAGCGTGTAGGCGTTGGGGAGCTTTAGTAATGTTCGAGGGAGCTCAGGGACTCACTCGGAAGGCTTAGACTTGAAGTAAAAGCGTATATTCGATCGTATAGACAATCAGAGAGACAATAGACAAGAGTAAGGAGAAACAGAGGTAGTGAAACAGAGAGTAAAGAGAAATCCGTATGGTTAGCAGGTATAAAGGGACAGGGACTGGACCTATGCAAAAGGGTGTGTGTTCAAAATATACCAAGCTGGGGCTTGGGGACGTTACGGAGCTACTTAAATAGGTATGGGAAGTGAACAAAGGAACATCAGAGCCTAGGGGACATGAGGCAGTAATCGAGGGAGACAGGTGATCGAGATTTGTACTTAATGGGGCTGGTGCTAAGGAGTTTCGTACGCGTGTCGGGAGGTTGTCAGGATAGTCTTGGGGAGGTGCGTATTACCCGTGATCCTGTCTTGGGGAGGTGCGTACTACCTCGGGGATGTCTTGGAGAGGTGTAAGGAAGCGTGTGGGATGGTGCTGGGGTTGGTCTGGTTGTGGTCAGGGCATGACAGATATCTGACGTCAATGTGCTTGACACGCGAATGGAATTTCGGGTTCTCTGAGATAGCTATAGCCCCTTGATTGTGGCATTTGATGAGGAGAGGTCAAGGGATATTGTGTCCCAACTCAGCGAGGAAAGAATGAACCCACTTGGCCTGTTGGACAGCTTTAGCCAAAGCTATGTACTTGGCTTCCGTGGTCGAGAGGGCCACCACATCCTGGTGCTTCAACATTCAGAAGGTAGGACCTCCAGCCATTATAGTCATGATACCCGAGGTAGATCTGCGCGAATCAATGCAAGAAGCATAGTCCGCATCAGCATACGTGACAGGATACAGACCCTCTTGAGTATCTCGAGAGTAAGTGATCCCCAGCTCCCGAGATCCACTAATATAGTGAATAAGGTGCATCAGGCTCTGCTAATGGACCTTCTTGGATTATGAGCGAATCAACTGAGGACATTTGCTGCGTGGGCAATGTCTGGACAACATGCTGCAGCTCCAAATTGGATTGCGCCAAGGATTTCTCGATATGGTTTCTTGTGCATGACCTCGATATTGTCAATGGAAGGAGGAGAGGAATTAAGAGATAAATTTGTACCTGAAGGGAGAGGAGTGGATTTTGGTTTAATGTCTCGGAGTCCGTGGTGGTCGAAGAGATTTTCCCAGTATGCAGGCATGGAAAGAGTGGCCGTTCCCTTTTCTCGGTCATGAGTAAGCTTCATACTCAGCGCAAATTGAACACTATTGGTCTCCTTTATCCTTGTAAGACCTGGGTCAAAATAGGTCTTAAGGTGGGTGTGGTATGAAGAGTTTATGTTGTAGCGTGCTAGGAGCAGGCTGGAGCTCAAAGGGAGCTACGGAAACCGCGACCGAGGACAGGAATGACCTAGTAGTGGTTGTGATAGAGAGTTCTGACCCTTGGAGGGGTTCCTGTAAGGTCCAGGGAGGTCCCTAAGGCGTAGATAGAGGAGGTAAATGTACAGAACCTAGTAAAGTTGCATAGAAGGAGTTATACTCGCTAGAACGTCAACGTGGGATTGAATAGGTTGTAGAGAGAATAGGTCTCAAGTGTATAAGCTCCTGAGAAGTTATACGCCCGGGAACTGGGGCTTAGGGGTGGACGTCCTCGAGTGTTGGAGGTGGTAATAGAGAAGTGGCACGTAGTTCAATGTAAGGGGTAGCTTCAACGTTACCTAGATCGAGATCCCAGAGCTTGTGGAGCAATTGGGGAGCTTGAGGAGGTTTTGGGGAGGTTAGCTCACCAAGGCGTTAGGTGTTGGGGAGCTTTAGTATTGCTCGAGGGAGCTCAGAGACTCACTCGGATTGCTTAGACGTGAAGTAAAAGCGTATATTCGACCGTAGAGACGATCATTGAGACAGTAGGCAAGAGTAGAGAGAGAGAAACAGAGGTAAAGAAACAGAGAGTAAAGAGAATTCCGCATAGGTAGCAGGTACAAAGGGACAGGGACTGAACCTATGTAAAGAGTGTGTGTTCAAAATATACCAAGCTGGGGATGTTTATGTTACTGAGGATACTTATATAGGTGGGATGAATAGGTAAGGAGACATTGTAATAAATGAGCATCTAATGGGGATGGCGTGAAGTGCGGAATCCATGAGGCTAAATTGATAGGGGGGATTGTCCGATGGCATATGCAAGTCTCGAGATGGTTGCTTCAGATGGAGGTTAGTATTGGTCAGGAGGTTGGTTGGGGTTCCGTGGATTCATGGGGGTTTCCTGGGAGGTTATCTAGGAGGTATGGAGGAACTGGTAAGCATCCCTGGGATGTCTAGGAGGATGAACAAGGGGAGCTTTTAGGGACAGGGCATGACATTACCCCCCCCCCCCTTTACTCCTCCGAGCCTCCGAGGAGGTTTCGTCTTGAAAGTCACGAGGTTTCCATGTGATCGAACTTTTTTCATTTATAAGTTCGTTTCCCCTCACCGTCTGTCTTCTTTATCCTCCTACCTGTCATCACACGAGTAGAACTCGGCTGCAATGACGATGCCTCCCGCTTCTACTTCTGCCCGAGTCTCCCATGCTCCTGACGCACTTCCCTCACCTCCGAATCATCGCGACTCCGATGTGGACGAGATCGTAAGTACTTTGGAGGAACCTTCCCTTGGGCAACTATCGTTGTTCAAGTCTGTCTTCAGTGTAGGTGTTTCGCTTGCGCGTTACATAGTGGATGATCCATTGTGGTCTATCCTTGCTGCCGCAGGTTTGCCGTGTTCCACCTGCATTCATGGTAAAAAGCAAGGTAGTTGCTCCGTCGTTCCTCATCTTGCTCGGTGTAGCAACTGCGATGAAAAGAAGCCGTGTGTGCTTGGACGCCTTGCGCGGTTCCGGTGTTTTTCCCGTAAGTACGCTCGCGATTTGGCTTTCGCCCGTCGCTTCCTGGAGGTCCACGGAGACCTGGGTCAGCGCACCCGCTATTCCCTCCCCACTGAGCAGTGGCAGATCATTTATGATCGCGTCAAACAGAGCACGAATTCGACCAGTGCTCTTCTCGAGCTGAACCCCTTGGATGACCAGGATCAGCGGGAGCTAGATTGTCAGGAGCTTCGTGAGTTCCATCAGCGTCAACTGTTGGTTCCTCACACCTCCTCATTAGCTGGCAAATCTTCCCTTTTACCTTGTGCTCCCACTACAAAAAAACGAAAATGACTAGGCAAGGTGGACTCTAGTTCTACGCCCAAGCGTCGGCGTCCTGAACAGCCTGTGGATAGGTCGTCCCCCATCTCGCCTACTGCTCCCCAGGCTGAGGGGGGGTCAGACTATCGTCATGTAGTTCTTGTCCTCCGACCTCCCCTTGTTCCTGGTTCGGAACTTCCCACTTTGCCGGAGGTAGGGCACCTCGTTCCTGCGGATTCCTCCCATCGGTCGGTTGTCGACCAATCTCGATCTCAGGGTTACACCGAGATCCCCCATCGCATTCCGCAAGCTGGTTCATTTGAGCAGTTCATGCCTCCAAGCGAGGTGGAGGACTTTTCCAGGAGCAGAAT